TAACTGCTTTCAAACTTCATATTTTATTGCGACAAGGCCTTTCATTGGGTAAAAATATTTTAGACCTTGACCACAGAGTTTGACCCACTGTAAAAATTATATCTTGGCCATAACTTTTGAACAGTTAGAACAAGGGCTTTCTTGTTTCACAAGTGCATTCCTTGTATTATAAGACCTTCATTTGGGTACCAAGTTATTACCAACACTTTTGACCTTTGGAGTTTGACATGCATTTGAGAAGATTCACCCATCACCAGTCTAAGCTGCCATATACGGGGGCACCAGTGTTTAACGAACACATCTTGTTTTTAAAAGTACATGTAGGTCAATCTACCGCGTCAAGAGGTCAAATTTGGTGTTACCCGTAATTCATGCCACAAAAAATACACCTGTGAAATATAAAAGGCATAGCCCCACCCAGTCAAAAGTTATGGGCATGGTTAATTAATTAAAGCTTTTGCGGACAAACAGACAGATACGCGGACAAGGCAGAAACTATTAGTATATATACAACTGAATCATTTATAACGTATATAGTAATGAATATTAAAAATATACACATAATTTCACAGTCTTAGACCAGGAGTAGGGTTTTGAAACTGCTATGAAACCTTTCCAGACACAAGAACCACTTGGCCAATTTCAACCAAACTTGCCACAAAGTATCCTTGGATGAAGGGGATTCATGTTTGGTCAAATAAAAGGCCTTGACTTCTTCAAAGGGGAGATAATAATGAATTAGTGAAAATTTGGAAGCATGTTTTAAAAATATTCTTCTCAAGAACAGCTGGGCCAGGAAAGTGAAACCCATGTGGAAGCATCCTCAGGTAGTGTAGATTCAAGTTTGTTCAAGTCATGACCCCCAGGGGTAAGGGTAGGGCCACAATGGGGGATCAAATTTAACATAGGAATATCTAGGGAAAATATTTAAAAACTTTCTTCTCAAGAACCGCAGGGCCAGGAAAGATGAAACTCATGTGGAAGCATCCTTGGGTAATGTAGATTCAAATTTGTTCAAATCATGACCCCTGGGGGTAAGGTGAAGCCACAGTAGGGTATCTAAGTTTAACATAGGAGTACATAGGAAAATCTTTAAAAATCTTCTTCTCAAGAACAGCAATACCATGATTCTTCATAGTTACTGGTAGCATATGAAAGCCTCCATGGGTAGCGTAAATTCAAGTTTGTTCAAATCATGACCCCCAGGGGTAGGGTGGAGCCGCAACGGGGATAATAGGAATATATAGGAAAAATATTTAAAAATCTTCTCAAGAACCACAGGGCCAGGAAATTTTAAGACGAAACTCATGTGAAAGCATCCTTGGGTAATGTAGATTTCAAATTTGTACAAATCATGACCCCTGGGGGTAGGTTGGGGCCAAAGTGGGGTATCAAATTTTAAAATGAGTCCATAGAAAAAGTCTTTAAAAATCTTCTTCTCAAGAACAGCAATGCCATAATTGATCATAGTTATATGGAAGCATCCACTGGTAATGTAGATTCAAGCTGGTTCAAATAATGACCCCCGGGCGTAGGGTGGGGCCACAATAGGGGATCAAAGATTAACATTGGAGTTCATAGAAGAAATCTTTAACAAGAGATGTTTGTAAAACACTTATGCCCCCCCCCCCCCCCCACCCAAATTGGAATTTTTCTAAGTCCAAGAGGCATAACTCTGTCAAAAACGTTGCGATCGTACCCAAAACAGAACTTGGCCTAGATAATTATTCATCTGATAAATCTGTGTACCAAATTTCATTTCAGTATGTATAACGGTTGCGACGAAAATGAAGAGAAACTGCAAATAATTGGAATTTTTCTAAGTTCAAGGGGCATAACTCTGTCAAAAATGGTGCGATCGTACCCAAAACAGAACTTGATCTAGGTATTTATGTGATATATTTGTATACCAAATTTCATTTCAGTATGTGCAAAGGTTGCGAATAAAATAGTGGAAACAAAGTGGACCGACAGACCAACAGACAGCAGCAAAGCAATATGCCCTTACTTTTTTGAAGGGGGCATAAAAATCTTCTTCTCAAATACAGCAAAAACATGATTGTTCATATTTATATGGAAGCATCCTTGGGTAGTGTAGATTCAAGTTTATTCCAATCATGACCCTCAGGGATAGGGTGGGGTAACAATGGGGGATCAAAGTTTAAACATTGGAATACATAGGGAAAATCTTTAAAATTTTTCTTCTCAAGAACAGTATACCCATGATCTGTCATAGTTATATTAAAGCATCGTCTTATAGTGTAGATTCAAATTTGTTCAATTCATTACCCCTGGGGCAAGGGTTGGGCCATAATGGGTGATCAAAGTTTTAAGAAGGATTACAATCTTTAAAATTCTTCTTGGGAACAACAAAGAAGTGATTGTTCATATTTATATCAAAGCATCTTCATGTAGTGTGGATTTGTTCAAATCATAATCCCTGGGGTAGAGTGGTGCCACAATGGGTGATCAAGGTTTTATGTATGAATACATGGGAACAATTGTTAAAATTCTTTACAAGAACAACAGAGTCATGACTGATCATCAATATAAAAGCATCAAAAAAGGTAATGTAGAGGAGCCATTAAAGTGCATCATAGTTATACAGATGAATATAAAGGCCATAGCAATAAAAAATTTTCATCTTATAAAGAGCAAAGCCATTATGTATCATATTAATTTAAAAGCATCTGTAGGAAGTATAGATTTAAGTTTATTTCAATACCCACTCCCCTGAACCCACTTTCATATTTAAACTTTTCAATGCTGAACTGATTTTTGCTTTTAACTACCCAGATGTTCAGGTGAGCCATGTGGCCCCTAGGCTCTTGTAGATCTCTTTACCTTCAAGTTTGACTTGCATTTGATAAACTTGAACCTTCACCATAATCCACCATTCAGGACTTCAGTATTTTACAAACACATTTTATTTCATTTTGAAGTTGTACAGGTGCTGTTTTTAGTACCTTAAAAAATATTTCTACATTGCATATTATTTGAAGGGAAATTGAAATGATTTTTTCCATCAGGTTTTAACTTAATCTTATTTTTGAAAGGCAATTTGAATCCCTTTATGAAATAAAAATTTTCGTAGTGGGCTTACTTTCAGTAGTGGTTGAAATAACCTACATGTATATATGATACAATTCGCTGTAGGGAAAGGGCTTATAAGTTTTTAGAACTTTTGCCTTGTCCTATTTGTACAATTTAAATGCAAACTGAATGCTGAAATTGGCTTTTTAAGTTTATTTGAATGAATGGTTTAACAGCCAAGATGAATTATTGATGTGAATAAATACATAGAAAGTAAACAACATGAATTTCAAATTCAAAGATAAAACTTTTTGCTGAAAAGAAGCACATGCAATACTCCTCTTTTTCTTCATTAATATCAATATTTTTTTTCTATTTATGCATACAATAATATTAAACAACAATTGAATAATCATGAAAAATCTGCATTGTAGTCACAAGCAAAATGCTCATATCTTTGATAGAACAAATCTGCCATATGCATTTTTAGATCACAAAAAAACAAAGTATTGCTCGAGGTAAGCTTAAATGTATGCTTTGTTCTTTAAAAACTAGTGCAGTAATGACAAATATGCAGTTACCCACATGTACATACATTGTATTACATACATACTGGTAAATATATTGAGAGAATGTTTAATTTATGTGTGCACCTGTATCACTGCTCAAAAAGATTTCTTTTATATAAATTCTCTAATTGCTCTTTCCAAGGAATCTAAAACTTTTTTCATTTCTACCTTTGACATAAAAATCCTTATACTTACAACATTTATTGTTTTTTGCACTTTTACAGTTAAAAAAACAATAGGTCACAATATGTGTTTGTTAAATCAATGCCCCAAATGATGGCAAGTTTTTGAGGTGGCAAGCTCTTATTTAATTTCACATTTGTCCTGTGATTATTATGCAGTGCTCGAGCTGTGATTCGCCATTGTCGCCAATTGCGAATTTTTTTCAAAAGTGGCGAAAAGAAATTCATAAATGGCGAAAATGATTTTTTTAGATGTACCATGTACAAAATTTGTGTAGTCCTGGTTAGCTCCTTTGTTTTGTTTATTCAATGTACACAGATAAGTCCCTTTGTTTACTTAATGCAGCAGAGGTGTGAAAACTGAAACCTACATGTAGGAAATCACGTCTCGCTTGAACGAACAGAGCTGACTAGGTAACTAGCCTGGAGCAATAAATAAGGGTTACAAAATTGCTTGAAATAATTTAATCTGGATTAATCAAGGGGGGATAAAGTGTTATTGGGAGATAGATTTTTATCAACAAAATCTGGATCTATGTAGATCGTTTTTTTTAACCAAAAATAGGGGAAAATTACGAAAAATTATAAAGAATGGCGTCAAATTTTACCTACTGAAAATTGAAAAATGTGTACATTAATGTACCATTAACTGACAAAGAGTGAAAAAGAAATTGGTTTGGAACCAGAATTATCTTTAGTTAGTAAATTACACAGAATTATTTATAGTAACATGAGCTTGCATATTAAACCCTGGAGTCTCCAAGTTGTTAAAATAAAGTCAAGTTTTAAACCTAATTTTCATTACTTTTTAATTTACTTCTTTTCACAATTAATTAATGAAATAATGAAAATTTCCATTTTTAAAAATTGTCATATTTTTACAAGGTCTGTAGCCCCCCCCCCCCCCTCCTTCCCAGGTGAAAAAAATAAACAAGAGGACATTTTCTGTCAAGAGTTGGCTGAGATCAATACAATATCAAATTAATTGTGTAATTCCAACATTATTATTTTTTTCTTTTTTTAAATGGATACTACCATAAGCTTTAAACATTATGATTACAATTTAAAAACAATGTCTGTGTCAGATAAACATAATAAAAAAATTGAATAACAAAATGTGTATTGCATTGTCGAGAAATCAGATTAAGTATGCCTTTCCTTAAAGCTTGTGTCGCGAAAAGTGGCGAAAAATATTTTCGGTCCAGTGGGAGCCCTGTTATTATGCCCTTATTTTTCAAGAAACCTTTACTAAAAACTATCAAAAACAACTCAGAAGTAAAGGTAAATCTAAATAGACATTTCATCAAAAAGCCAACCAGGCACTACTCACATTAGATGGTCGATGGGGCACCAAAATGTCTTTAATAAATAATTGCACATAAATGATAAAAAAAATTCTACATAAATTTGAATACCAGAGTTTGTTTATGCATGCTAGAGTTTTAAGTATCTTTTTCTCTCAGTCCCGACTGTTTTAGCTTTTCTCGTCCCCGTCAGCACTCTCTTGCACTTCGTCGTAGACCTCCTCCTCCGGAGCGCCTTCTGGTGCCTTGTTGGCATCCGGGACCCAGAGTCCGGAGTCAACACAGCGTTTGATGTGGTACCGAGCTTCCTCCTCAGGTAACTCAGTGATGGTCTTTTGTAGTAATGCAATGTCTTTTGACTCAAAACACTTTTGTAAGCACTGAAATTATATCACAGAAAGTCAATCATAACAGCAAAAAATTATTTGGTATTTAACCAGAAGTCTCTGTCGAGACTGTAGCTCTACTGGTTTATACTTAAAACAAAGGAAGAGAAAAGTAGCAGTTGGGACTTGAGACTTTAAATCAGCAATAAATAGAAAAATGATCCTTGCCACTCATCAAAATAAAAACCAATGCACAGAATTATGTATCTTAGTATAGTCTACTTGTGTGCCAAGTTATACTGAAATCAGACCAAAACTGCAGGAGGAGTAGCATTTTGAAAGAATTTCACAGAAATTTCTATTATTAGTAACCATGGCAACATTGTTCATTGAAATCAAAAACCGATGCACAGAATTATGTATCTTAGTGTAGTCTACTTGTTTGCCAAGTTATATCAAAATCAGACCAAAACTGTAGGAGGAGTAGCATTTTGAAAGAATTTCACAGAAATTTCTATTTTTAGTAACCACGGCAACACCGTTTATCGAAATCAAAAACCGATGCACAGAATTATGTATCTTAGTGTAGTCTACTTGTGTGCCAAGTTATACTGAAATCGGACCAAATCTGTAGGAAGAGTAGCATTTTGAAAGAATTTCAAAGAAATTTCTATTTTTAGTAACCACGGCAACACCGTTCATCGAAATCAAAAACCGATGCATAGAATTATGTATCTTAGTGTAGTCTACTTGTGTGCCAAGTTATAATGAAATTGGACCAAAACTGTAGGAGGAGTAGCATTTTGAAAGATTTTCACAGAAATTTCTATTTTTAGTAACCACGGCACCACCGTTTATCGAAATCAAAAACCGATGCACAGAATTATGTATCTTAGTGTAGTCTACTTGTGTGCCAAGTTATACTGAAATCGGACCAAATCTGTAGGAGGAGTAGCATTTTAAAAGTATTTCAAAGAAATTTCTATTTTTAGTAACCACGGCAACACCGTTCATCGAAATCAAAAAACAATGCATAGAATTATGTATTTTAGTGTAGTCTACTTGTGTGCCAAGTAATTTTGAAATTGGACCAAAACTGTAGGAGGAGTAGCATTTTGAAAGAATTTCAAAGAAATTTCTATTTTTAGTAACCACGGCAACACCGTTCATCGAAATCAAAACCCGATGCACAGAATTATGTATCTTAGTGTAGTCTACTTTTGTGCCAAGTTATATTGAAATCAGACCAAAACTGTAGGAGGAGTAGCATTTTGAAAGAATTTCAAAGAAATTTCTATTTTTAGTAACCACGGCAACACCGTTCATCGAAATCAAAAACCGATGCAAAAAATTATGTATCTTAGTGTAGTCTACTTGTGTGCCAAATTATATTGAAATCGGACCAAAACTGTAGGAGGAGTAGCATTTTGAAAAATTGTTTACAGACAGACAGACAGACAGACAGACAGACAGACGGACAGCCAGACAGACGGACGGACGACGGACGCATTACTATCGCATAAGCTCTTCTGGTCTCTGACCAGTAGAGCTAAAAATGAGACGAAAATTTTCATAAAGGAGATGGCTGATCAAGATGTGCAGAATGCCTAAAATGCAAGAAACATCAAATTGAAAAATTAAATCTCAATTATAACATTCATGTGTGTGTTTTTTATGCCTTACCTCAGGTAAACTCTCAAAGACTTCCACTGGATCCAGGCCTCCTGGTCCTAACCTCTTCTGTCTTTCCTCCTGTACAGCATAAGAATGGATCAGAATTAAAATAAATATTACACAATATACCAAATTACATTAAACATTTCATTGGTTGCCATGATCCAAAAGGTAATGACGAACACAACTTTGAAATTTACTTTTGCAAGGGACCAAAAAAACTCAAGAATATGTATTCTGAGATAATGCTTTTTTTTCTCAAATAAATTTGAATGTAATGTTCAATGCCTATTTGACTTATCTTTTTCTTAAAAAAATATATATATTTTCCCATTTTTTCCAATACATTACTATATTAAAGTTTAGGTTTCAAGCCTTGTTCAAGTCTCACTTTATCCATCCAGAAACCACAAATTTGATTTTATGAAATTGACATTCAAGTCAGTTGGCTATAAATCTTCTAACCTCTTCATATTCCTCCATGGCCTTCTGCAGTTTTTCCTTGGCTCGTTTTGTGATCCTCTCTTTGAAGGCCTCCAGTTCACTGTTGAAGGCTTCCATGTACTGCTTTTCTCCAAGCTTAATCCTGAAAGATGTCCAGAGGTCAATTTTGGACTTTGTATAAGGAAATGATCTATGCTAATGTGAGCTGAGGAAATGCATCTCAATTGGACAGAAAATTTGAACATATCAAGCTGTATATCCACCCATTGTAAAAACCTTTGAATTCATCTAGTTTAATTTTAGAATGGTCCAAGTTTTGAATACTAAAATCAGTACAGTAAAACTCGTTTACTACGTACATGGATATAGCGAATTCACAGTTATAGCGAAGTTTTTCTGGGTCCCCTGCAAAATTCTTAATAAATCCTTGTAAAATTTTACGGTTATAACAAACTCTATCGAATTTACGGATATAGCGAACTGATTTTGAGTCCCGTTGAGATTAAATATAATGAAATTTACATCTTTTATAACGAACTTTCAAAGATTATAAAAAAAATGATAAGTTTAACTTACTTTATTTCCTTTAAGCATTTGTATATAAAATTCAATTCATAAGAAAAACTTAGTTATCGAAGATATGTTTTGTAATATTTGCTTCACTAACATAGTTGGTAGTAATACTTGAAAGAAAACATGCATAATGCGAATTCGCTATAATGGTTATATGAATTCGTTATACGGATATAACGAATTACGGATATAGCGAATTAAATTCACAGGTCCCCAGGACTTCGCTATAACCAAGTTTTACTGTACTTAGTATTTGGGAAAAATAAATACAATGCAATGATTCTTCACTGTCATTGTGTAGAAACATTTTCTACATTCAGTGATCATCATTCAATTATCACAAATTTCCAATCATAATCAAAACCCATGAATTGAATATTTTTTTAACAATGGGTGGATCTGTAGCTCTCTCTCTCTCTCTCTAAATAATATACTAGTGAATGTAGATATGACAAGAATACCATTTTCTTGCATATATTTTATACCTAGAGAAGAATGGGCGAACACAGCTCCTTGGATCCACATCCATCTGTTTAGCCAGCTCCATGATGAAGTTCATCACGATGGTTTGATGAGCCACATGGTTCATTAAATCAGTTTTCTGAGTAAAACAAGTTATTGCAACAGCGACTTAGAAAAGTAGAAAATTGAATTCTTTTCTTTTATCCAATATATCAATAAATTTGATCAATGTGGCAATGTTTGGCCTGATTAGGATGTGCCTGAGAGATTATGAATTTAATGACCTTACTAAATAGTCTTCTTGAGCTGTATCAGTTTGAAAATAAACAAATTATTTGACTTCTTCATTCCCACTAAAATACAGAAGACTTTAGATCATCAAAACACAACATACTGGAAAGTAAACATTCAAGAACACTGGGGTTGTCTGCCCTTACCTCCTCCATTGCCAGATCTATACACCAGAGGACCAGCACATTAGCTGTCTCCTCACAGACAAGCTCTGGGTGGTCAACCAGAAACTGCTGGCTGTCTTCAAACCGACGCATCATACCAAACTTCTTAGCATCAGCTTTATGTTTCTCAATAAACTCTTTCTGAGAAAAAGAAATGAAACTGGAGTTTACCCCATCCAGTTGATATTTCAGAATTAGCTTTACTGGGTACAACTGGGTACAACTGAAGTATTTTTCACAATCTTATACCAACTTATAACTTGATGACAAAGTAATTTCAATATTTTGAGTGAGTTGTAACTATTTACATTGTATGATCCATTTATAGAAATTCTGAATGTCATTAGGCAAAAAAAAATTAATCAATAGTTTCTCAGGCCAAAAAAATCACAATTCAATGTGGCAGGCAGGATTTTTTTTTTTTTTTTTTAGCAGGATTTAGTCTACACCTTTTTTAAGTCATTTGTTCAATAAAATGATATTATCTACTAATTCTTAAGTTTTGTTCTCTGAAATTAGTAATAATACGCATTCAACTTTAAATAATGTTATTCCAAACATTAATTTTAAGTTAATTTATAAAATACCGTAATTTCGGGAATATAGGTCGATGGGGTATATAGGTCGAAAGGCTCATTTTTCAGCCTTAAATTTTGAAAAATCCTAAGATAGGTCGAACTTACTATATAGGACGAGGCTTTGTTTCCCGTTTTCTTAAGATTTTAACGCAGATACAACGTATCAGAACAGGTAAACCCCTAAAATTATCGGGGTTATTCCGTGACATGAACGTATCAAGAAAATAAACAGGTATTTTAATGAGTACAGCAATTAAATACTGTTTTTTAAAAAAATGTAGTTAAAACTTCTTTGAATTGTGTAACTACTTATTTTTCTCCAACTTGCCTATTCAATGCCTCGGTAGTTTCACACTGTTGTTAAATCAGAGGCATAAATAACACGTAAATACGTTATTATTTTACAGCTATAAATCGGGAGATACCCGAGACCAAAGAATAGTAATTCCGATTTCAGAACAACTTGGACACATTCCTAAAAAATTTTACTCAAACATTATTTACCGGTGGACGACAATTACTTCCATGTCCGCCATTTTTATTTTTCTTCTCCAGGGATTTGCTAAAACACGCAAATGACCATTGAATGTATATATCAAGCAACAGTACAGAATTGAAATCATATTAACACTCTATAAGTTTAATTTATAAATTTTAATTGAGAGTACATTCACAATTTGACTTTCAACATGAATTTCACGACATTGTTTGTTCAATGATGTGTAACACTAATACCCTATAATGGCACGTGGGTTTCTTAATCATGCCCCGCAGGCATTTAAACCAACAGTGAACACAGGTGTTAAACACCTTTGCGTACACAGTGTACGGTAAATCCCTTTATCTGTCAGACAATTAAAATTCTGTTAGAAGCCAATCTGTGTATACCGGTAAATAATTAATTAATATTTAAAAAAAAAAACAGTAATGACTTTTTTTTTTTTTTAATTAAATTTAGGAATTGAATTGATTATTTCACTCGTTTAACATTTAAATAAACATAAGACAATAAAAAATATTTGATATACTATTTCAATTTATCGCTACTAATAAATGGTAAAAACACAACAGTTGTGATCGTGAAAATTTTCCATATTTAAATTTTGATACGGTTGCGGTTTTACTTTTAGTACACGATCGCGACTTCCTAACTTCACAAGATGGATACCGCATGATGTTAATGGATAATACGTTGAGGAATTATTTAATAGATATAGCAACGTTGTTTTCCTTTGTCATCAACAGATAATTAATGGAACTTATTTTGTAAGAAAGCTATAGAATAAATATTTTATTGTTTACTGGAGCATTAATTTTTTTGCGAAAATAATCAAAAAAGTTACGAAAGTGGCACAGATTTGCTTTGAAATTGGCGTAAATTTTACTGATTTGGGGGCATTTTTCGTAAACTTGAGCCTTAAATAGGTCGAATTCTGAATATTGGTCGACCCCAGCGGTTCTGAGAAAAAAAGTATCGACCTATATTCCCGAAATTACGGTAGTTTAAATTTAGAAGAAAGATATTGTTTTTCTAATAAAAACGTCTTTCTTAGCATTTATGAAAAGGGCAATAACTCGATTTTCTTTTTCAACTTGGAAAAATAGAAAATTGAGTTATTTCCCTTTTCAATATGTCAATAAAATTGATCAATGTGGCCGTTTTTGAACTGATGCGGCGGTGCCTGAGAAACTATTGATCAATTTTTTGGGGCCTTAGCAGAATATTTGAACTTATTATCCTACCTACCATATGGTTAATATTAACAACTTTTGAAACCTCAAGTCTTCACAGATAACCTCTAGCAGTAAGAGTACTTACATGTCTCTGACTTTTCTCTTCTTCTGTTAATTCTTTCTTTGGTATTGGTTTATTTATTACCTGGAAGAATAAGAAACGAATGAGAATTTCAGCTTTAAACAATTTGTTTACTTTTGTTTTGTTTTAAATAAGTAGACACAAACTACATGTACCAGTATTAAAGAATAATAGGATAATTTTTTTCAGTCTTAATTTCTTTTCAACAAATACTTCTTAGCTATGTTCAAACAATCTTGAATAAAAAGATAATGTTGGAAATGTCAGATTTAAATTCAAGTAGGAAAAGGGGCAAATGCAAAGGTGACAAAGTTCCCCGACAGACAAATACTACAACAGATCTGATCATTGTATCCCCAGCAATAAATGCATCATCATAGCTCAAAAAATTTTCAGCGTTATCAGTTGGTATACTTACTGTTTTTGATTTTCCTTCATGGCAAATGGTGTCAACATTCAAGGGAGTTAACTTGAAAGAGAGAAATTGTGTTTTTGTGATACATATTCACATCTACAAACTATATATTAACTATTTTTTTCTTTTTGACCTGACATCATTATTGTAATATTTTTATGATTTCAGAAACTTGATTAATTACAATAAGTAATGCCTTTAAAGAGCATTTTATAAATACTTTTTTTACATCACATGCAATGTTAGGTCTGTTGGACAAAAAGGATTATCATTATCATTCAGACATTGTGCAATCAAATCAAGTTAAACTAGAATTTCTTTTTATGAGTTGATCGACCCTCTATGAAATACCTTTTCTTTTTTTCTTAATTCTGCTTCTTTCTCTTTCCATTTCTTCTCTTGAGCCTCTAATTCTGAAAGCTCAGCTTTTACCTTTGAATCACTATTCTGCAATTAGAAAGCATAATATAATTTTAAAAAACGTTCTATCAACAGATGCATCCAGTGTAATCAATTCATGCCCCGGCTGTGTGATTGGTCAACTCATATTATCAACATTGACAAGGAAATAGTCTGTTGCACGAGCAACCAATCAGGGATTAGAAGAAACTTCCAGTCGTAAAGCTTGCGGTTAGGAGGCGTGTACTATTTACCTTGAGTAGAGCTGTCAAACTAGATCATGACGTAACATAAAACTACACACTTAACTGAATTGATAATATTGTGTCCCCACCATACCATGGGTCAATGAACAAACTTAAATAAATCTACATATGTCAGAAAGCCTCTCCACATGTTTCATCTTAGCTGGCCTTGTTTTTCTTAAGAGAATTTTTTTTAATTCTTACAAAATCTCTTTGAACAAAGGATGCTTTGTAGCAATTTTGGTGAAATTTGCTCCAGTAATTCTACCAAAAGGGGTTTCCTAGACAAAAATTAAAAAATATAGAAAAATTACAGTGGATAGAAAGGTGAACTGATAAATGCAAGATTTTTTCCTATTTATTCATATGTAAAACTCTGATTCCCATTGTGGTCTAACCCTTAACCCGTGGGGTCATTATTTGAACAATATTGAATCTACACTACCTGACTAATCATTGCTTTGCTGTTCATGAGAAGAAGATTTGTAAATTTCAACAAATTGAACAAACACAGGTGACACATTAACAATTATAGAGCTTGTGCTCTATTTAAAAAAATAATTTAATTTTGATCGGGTGTGTTGAATTTGTGAAACTCTATAGTTATCATATTTTTCATCAATACACAACCAAGTTTGTACTTTCTTTAAGTATAAAGGATAAAGTTTACTTTGTGAAAATGTATTAAAGGATGTGTCAATCAAAGGCATCCTGAAATTCGTAAATTCAAAAATTTCTAGATAAAATAATTTTTTTTTATATTTCTGTATGAAATGCTATAGCAACACATAAGTCATGATAAAAAAAAAAAGAAATTTTCAACTTCAAATCTGTGTCCAGGCTCCTTTAAAGATACTATAAAATTTTTACTACTTCTAACTAAATCATCTCCTCCTAAAAGAGGCCTAAAAGAGCTCTTCATTTAAAAAATTTGAAACCCATTCACTCAAATATGCTTTTTGGCAAGTTTGGTTGAAATTGAACAGGTGGTTCTTTAAAAGAAGTCAAAAATAATTACAGAAAAATGTACAGATGGACAATGGACAAATGGTGAGCAGAAAAGCTCACTTAAGCTTTCAGCTTAGATGAGCTAAAAACATACCAAATCAGCTTCCTTTAACTTCTGCTTGATTTCATTCATTTTTCTTTGATGTCTATAGATTAGAAGAATAAAACATCTTTATTATTCAAAAAACAAAAAACTCAAAATTACATTTTTTTCTTCTTTGATAACGAGATTATGGCCAGGTATTAACTCATTATGAATAACAGAAATGAAAATTTTGATCTGAGATTAGACAAGAATTTGTTATTGATAATTAATGAATTACATTATATATATATTTCATCTGATAGAGTTTTTATAAATATACTATTATAGGTAGAAATAATTAGATTTCAAAGAATTTTGCCGAAATATTCAATTTCAAGGCATCTTATTTGGTTAATGACTAATGTTTCAATTTGTTTTCTTCTCTTGATGTTTCAAAGTCAGGACACATGCATACACTTTGCATACACGGGATAGCCTAATCTAACTAGACTGTAATTTATAACACTAAGTTATGTTTTATAAGACCAAGCCATGGTTGTTAAAACCTACTCTTTGTAGCCTTTCTCAAAGTCCTCTTTTTCTTTTTTATCGTGCTCCATCCTATCCACCCTTGCCTGATGACGCCATCTGAAGAGACTTGCTGTGTCAACATTTGGGTGTGTGTCATCCTCATCATCTGAAATCTAATAAGTAGGAAATTAATATCAATTTCTGAAGAGACTGTCAATGCTTTGTTGAAATCATATTCAGTACAAAAATAATTAACCTACTTGGTCATTAATTGGAGAATCTTTTCAAATTAAACTGTGTAAAATAGTCTAATAATTTTGCAGTTAAGTATATATATAACTTTCTAAATGTTCAATTTATTTTTTTTACTTTAAAATCCTAAAGATTCACTACATTCTGGAACATTCTGCAAAGTAAAACTGAAAGTATACATCTTAACTTCCTCTTATTCTAAAGAATGAGTTCAAGAATCTGTTTTCATGGATACAAAAATTCTAGTTCAATCATTTACCTCAATATGGTCCCATTTACTGTAGTTGATCGTTGTCATGATGGGAAATTGATAAAGTCACTCTGCATCAATTTGAGATTTGCGTTTTTCGTGCAGGAAATCGTAGAATTGATACTTTGATCCCGAGCATTTAAAGAATAAGAATTTAGACTTTGAAACTCTGTATATACACAGCCACAAATTTTTCTGTTGTCACTTTTATCATCAACACAAAATATTAAAAAAAATAGCTTGAAATAAGATAAATATGTGATTATTGTTGTATAACAATTTAGAGTTCGGGATCGGCCTTCGGCTACTGTTATGAACGAATCACGCCATGGCGTCAGGGTTTATTCCTCAGACATGGGAAATGTACGATATGTTTCAAGCATTGCTACAGGCTCCATCGTACCATCTTTTCTTTGAAGCATTGCTTATCATCTGGATTTTCAAACTACTCTTTTTCTCAAAGGCGTACGCTCCTGAATCCGTTCTCACAGAGAAAGAAAAAGAGGAACTGATTGCGGAATGGCAACCCGAACCCCTTGCCCCTGAAATCCCTGAAGATCACCCAGTATTACAGGCTATGGAAAATAATATAATTACAGGAAAACCTGGTAAATATGTTACGATCAATGGAAAATCCTGTATAAACATGGCTACTCTGAACTTTCTGGGCATGGCTGGCAACCCATCTGTTGAGGCTGCTGCCATCAAAACTTTGAAGAAGTATGGAGTAGGTTCATGTGGCCCCAGAGGATTCTATGGTACTATGGACGTTCACTTGGAACTAGAGGACAAACTAGCTAAATTCATGAACTGCGAGGAAGCTATTCTATACGCATTTGGATTTGCTACGATTGCAAGTGCTATACCTGCTTACTCCAAGCGAGGGGATGTTATATTTGCGGATGAGGGTGTTTGCTTTGCTATTCAAAAAGGATTGGTGGCTTCAAGAAGCAAAATCAAATGGTTTAAGCACAATGACATGGAAGATCTGGAACGTCTTCTTATTGAACAAGCCAAAGAAGATAAAAAGAACCCAAAGAAAGCCAAAGTGACCAGGAGATTTCTCTTAGTGGAAGGACTTTATATCAACTATGGAGACTTGTGTCCACTTCCCAAATTAGTTGAACTGAAGTGGAAGTACAAAGTTCGACTCTTTATTGAAGAAAGTCTATCATTTGGTGTTCTGGGTGCAACTGGAAAAGGTATTACAGAACACTACTGCATCTCTCAGGATGAAGTTGACCTGATAGCAGCATCATTAGAAAATGCTATTGGATCAACTGGGGGATTCTGCTGTGGGAAGAAGTATATAGTAGATCATCAGAGATTATCAGGACTTGGATACTGCTTTTCTGCATCTTTACCTCCCATGCTAGCCACCGCAGCAATAGAGTCCTTGCACTTGATTGATGAGCAGCCAGTCATGTTGAATCAGCTCCGAGAGAACTGTGAAAAAATGCACGAGAAGCTGAGAGAAATAAAAGGGATACTTATAGTAGGGGAACCCCTATCACCTATCAAGCATATAAGACTGGCTGAGCCTAGCACTGATCGGGATTTTGACGTCCAGACTCTGCAGAAGGTGGCTGATCTCTCCAGGGAAAACAAAGTCGCTGTAACGCTTGCTCGCTATTTAGAAGAAGAGGAGCATAAGCTTCCCATACCCAGTATCAGGATATCTGTGAACAACCAGCTCTCTGATGAGGAGATTGACAATGTATGCTTTACACTAAACGAGGCATTTCAGAAAATTCTCTCTCATTGATGATGGAACTTTAATGTGAATTTCATAAGATAAACATGATAAAGAACTACCGGGTATCAACTGCATAACATGTATTAGACATTAGATGCAGTTAAGATGTATGTCATGATTCATTGTACCATAACTACACTTAGAAGAATGAAGACAGTTATCATATTTATTAGGTTAAGTTAACTTATCCTTTTTCCTTAAGATATTTTGCGTGTACATGTACATGGTTTTCACCCAGGTTAACTCTGTTCTGATTTGAGCAGATCATCAGTCATTAATATGATAAACAATTAAAGATATGGATTTAGTCAATTGAAGATGCTCAGTGCTAAAACATTTTGTCCAAGTGCTAGCAAATGCAAGTCAAATGTAGTTGTATAATGTATGTTTGAGCGAAATTTCTCAGCAAGTAGTCTACATGCTTATAAATTGGTTTAGCATTATTTTCCATTCATTCAATGTCTTGGTTTGTTGATCATGTTGATAGTTTTCCTTTTGAAGTTTGTACACACATGTATAAAATTAATGACTTTGAAAAAAAATAATTTTGTGTCTGGATCAGTCCATTTAGCTGTATATATGTTTAATGGCATGTTCTTTAGTTTGAATTTATTGAAGTTGAGTCCTATATTGACCTGGTCTCATCAAAGTTTGTGTGAAAAGACTAGACTCTATGACACAATCTGTAGAGAGTCGATAATCTGCCAAGCAGTGAAGCTTTGTGTATATTTTGTAAAGTTGCAAATAAGTAAGTGGTGTCAGTAAATTATTGATTACTATTCAATATGTAAATGCTGTAATTAATAATTGTGTGTGGATTTGAATTTTAAAGGGAGAAAATAGAACAAATATGTATTTAGTTACTTTTATAGTATACATATATATGTTGAACTGTGATAAGTATTGTTCCAAATAATTTATAATCGCACTAGACAACCAAACATTTATTATCAAATACATGCTGAATTAGCATCCTCCCTTCCCTCCCCCCCCCCCAGTATATTCCCATGTTTGTTTAGAGTAGTTTATAAGTTATTTAAAAGATGCAAGTCCTTTTTGTTAACTGATTCTTTAGTCTTGTCCAGAATGCTTTTAAATTTATGATTATCAAAAACTTAGAGATATCATGTTTATACATGTATTTTGAAATACAGAGGGTTTTGTTTGAATTTTTTTTTTTATGTACTGCAAATAAATTATAGGTTATCTTACAGTTTTTTTTCTAAAGAGTTGTTTTTTAACAACGTAAGTTCAAAATAGTGAGGAATTGTTTACGAGATAAAAAAAATATTTAGTTCTTTATCATGTTTATTTTAAGGTCCAATATTATTTTAAAATCCAGATAATACTGAAGTTTTCTGGAGAGAAAAAAAAAACACACCTACCTACCGACCCAATTTTTTTTACTCTAACCATCAGAAGAGAGCAAACAAACTTTAATTTTAAAGACATGGCCTTGTCCAAGATTTTTCAGATATTAAGTAATCAAATCATCCTGTTTTGCCAGTCCAGCCACCCTTTTAAAACTGACAAGTACTTGAAATTAGATTTCAATACTGGTACTTAAATTATTTTATTGACAATACCAAACTTCCAATTGGTTACATGTACAGTACAATAATAAATTTACTTTTGTCATTCGTTTTATCTTAATATAAACATGTCATTGACAAAATTAGTAAATTTTTTCAAAATTTTGTTTATACACTGTGTATAAATTTGATTATAAAAATAAATAAATAGATGCCTCTAAAAATATTTCCTGAAATATATTATAATGTACAGTATTATAAAGAAAATATAAATCTACACCAACATGATTGTCGTTCAAAAATTCACATAATACAATATATATAAATTGTCCCTGAGTATAAGAGGCAATATACATTATACACTTGACTTAGATACATTTACATTATGACTAACCACCATTGACCAAACAAAATTTAGTTTGCAACAGTCTATGCAAAACTAAGGTATATAAAAATCTGCAAAAGATGACAATACATATGTTGGGATAGCATCTGGAAAGTCCTTGAAATCTTCCATTTTGTTAGCACCAGTCAGTACAAGCACAGAGTCAATACCAACATTGTTTGCAAACCTAATGTCAGCCTTTAAACTGTCCCCTACGAAGAGAGTTCTCTTTGCATCTGTTTCTGGGTATATATCTACAACACAGTCAAACATGAGGGTGTGAGGTTTGCCGAGCACTAGAGGTGTCCTTTTGGAGGCAGTGGCCACTGACGCGATAAGACTTCCAGTTGTGGGCTGTAGTCTGTTGGGTGCAATTTGCACTGCAATTTCTACATCATTGGTGGCTATGAAATGGCAGTCTTTGTTCATCAAGTAACTTGCTGCTTTGTAGATTTTATTGTAATGAAAATCCTTATCGAATCCCATCAGAACTGCTTGTACATTTTCTCTGAATTCCATTTTAAGTAAATCATCCACTTGTAGACTTGTAGCATCTGGATCCGGACCTAATCCAAAATGTTTCAGGCCAAGTTTGTCAAGCTCATGAGCCATGCCGTGTGTTCCCAACATGTAAATGTCACCTGTAACGTTCAGAATATCTTTAAGGTACAGCGCCGAGACATAAGCAATGCCAAAAACCTCATTTTCCTCTGCCTCAAAACCTTGAGTCTTAAATTTGTTTAAGTAGTGGGAATTCGAATGAAAGCTATTATTGGTTACAAATAGAATTTGCTTTCCTTTATTCCTCAAAAATTCAATGGCCCTGGGAATGCCAGGTAGAGAGTTGTAGTGATCAGTTGCCCATAGTGTGCCATCCAGATCGACTAGAAATGTGTCATAGGATTCTATGATTTCTTTCACTGCGGTGGAATCAGACAATTTGGGCGTTTTCTTCAAATGAGGTACATATGTGGTTCCATAGTTTCTCATGATATTTCCAAATAAATTACACTTTCTAATATTTTGAGCACACGTGTTCCAATAAATTCTGTTAAACATCCTCAGACTCGAAGTAAACATGATTTTCTTCAGTTTAGGTACCAGTTACATAGCATGACAACGAACTCAACAAACTTTACAGCTCGCAGCTGAGATGTTCCATAATGCTTGTGTCCTTCACCTCACGATGATCATGTGATAAGGGAATCGCAAGTGAACAGACGACGATTTGGCCATTCCTTAGAGGTTTTTGTTTACGTTGAGATGACCTTTTTTTTAATACATGTCACTTTTTTTTAAAATTATTTTTTTCTAGCCTAAACATAGATACATTTCTTTTCTTATTCGTTTTCTCAAAATATGATAGGAAAATTTTAAAATCCTTTGCGTCTCCAAAACGCTTAGGTTTACGATGCTTTTCTGTGAGCGGGTTGGCTCCGTTTGGACAAAGACTGGGCGGCGGAATCGAATTTTCAAATGGATGAAAAAAGAATTTTGTTTTAGAAAACATGGATAAATTGAGGTAGATTCATAATCACATGAACTTTTCTGTAATTAAAAAGAAAGCCTGCATGAAAACTTCTAAAAATCTTAACCTAATGTGATTTAATATCATATGTTGACGGTGCTACCGTTATCAGGTTGGGCACAGCCTACCAAATGGTACTTTATCCCCCGTTTGGTAGATAATCTACCATATCGGTAACGAATTTTACTAACCAAATGGGGGACTTTTTTATTCTAATGCAATTTTTATTAAAATAAAACAAAAGCGCATTTATTTAGGCATTTGGGGATTTTAGTGAATATATTCCTCGCACAATTAACATAAATCGGTCGAATTTTTATGTGTAATTTCTCCGTAACTTCGTAAAAACAATACCCGTAGTTGTCTGTAACAGCCGAACTTCTTGATCAAACGATAAAAAAATCTGTATTGTGTCTTGCTTGGATAAAAATCCAATTTTATACAGTGATTTAACTCTTGATGAGTTAACTTTCAATCTCTTTTTGGATGTTTGTCAATGTTTATCTCCATAAAATCCTGTTAAACACGAGCTCCTCATGGCCTTACCGGTATGGTGGGCACTTCCTGCTATAAAGTTAATTTTTTCCAGAGTTTTACGTAATATTTATTGTCATTTTTCTTTTAGGATGAAGTTGCAGATTCCATGTGACCTTTTGGGGTTTAACATGCATATTACTGGTGAATTTAATAAATTCGAAAAATAATATTCAATAAAAGATGTACAAAATGACTTTTGCGATTATTCTTGTTTTTGTTCCAAGTACATCGTTTTAAAACAATAATTATGTCATACTTCAACTGCATTTACTATTTCTATGAAGAACAAAGCCATTGTGTTCAAAATAAAAAGAAATAGAGGCAAAACTTATTGTTCTTCTGATTTCCATGTTGAAAATTAACACAAATGTGCCTCCGTAGTTAAATCCGACTTTTCATTAGGTTTAAAAAAAGATCATCGTTTTGATTGGTTTGCACTAATTGATTGGTTGCCCGGATAATCGAAATAGAAAGTAAAGGATATGATTGACAGGCGCAGCATCGTTGGTGAAGGAGAGAATGTTCTTTTAAAGTAAAAACCGGAAAAACATTGCACTTGTTTACATAAGCTACGCTATTTGTCAAATTTTTGAACGACTCTGCGCAAAAAATTGCACATAGAATTTTTGATTTTTTTCACCCAGAACACCGATAAATATCTATATTTTATTCCACATGGTTTAAAATTATGCGAAATTCCACTCTACTCCAGGAAATTAAACACAACCAATTTTGTCCCCCATTTGGTTAGTAAAATTCGTTACCGATATGGTAGATTATCTACCAAACGGGGGATAAAGTACCATTTGGTAGGCTGTGCCCAACCTGGTTATGGCGAGCGCAGATATTTATTTTGTGATAGTCAAACTGCACGTGAGATATGGTGCATCTAGACTCTGACGTCACATGACGTCGCATGTAAGTTACATTTCCAAAAAGAAGCCTGAACAGTGCTGAACGTAAATGAAGAACGTTTCGTTTACTATATTTATCTTCAATATTTAAATCAGGACTTGTTTACATTTAGTTGAACTTTTGCTGCTATTCTCGCGAGAACGTAGCTTTAACAAGTGACGCATTGTGGGTACAAATTACTGCATCAAAAAATTCTATCGAATGAATGTGCAGTCGCACAGGCGTTGCTTTAAGAGCTCGCAGTGACGAGCGTCGCTTTGCGACGCTCGCTGCACTCGCTATATTAAAGAGAAACGGCACTCTAATTTGTCAAATCCCTATCGCTTTATGTTGAATTAATGTTTTTAAAAGCAATATCCTGAGCCACTGACCTCGAGGAAAAATCATGTAGTTAGTAAGCTCACAGTAGCCTTTAGGGATTTAGTTTTGTTGCTTTGAAAAAAAAAAACCTAAAAACAAAAAAAAAAACATCTGTGTCGGATTTGTATTAAATAATTTGTGTTTCTAGTTTATACAGAATTTAAGTTTGTTTAACATAAAATAGGACAAAGAAGAGAGGCTTTTTTGCCATATCCACCTCCTTAAGCTCATCAGGAGACAAGAAACGAAACAAGGGAGAGAAGCAGGAATTTACTTACCTCAAGGGAGACAAACCAGAGTTTGACAAGGTTGAGTTGAGCAATATTCATGGCAGTAATGGTACATTAAATGACGGAACAGATGAGGAAGCTGATCAGGGAGAAATATCTGGACATAGTTCATCAGATCTGGAAACAGCAGGTACTACTTATTGTGTATTATGGAAAAACTGGAGTGAATCTCTCTGCCTCCACTTCAAACTCCCGGGATTTGTCGAAGACTGCCACTAGGTAACCACAGGCCTTTAGATCATTTTAATTAAAATTACACCCCCAACAATTTTTTTCAAGTCAGATTAAAGGTATCTATGTGAATTGAACCTGTGAATTCTGGCAATCCTTTATTAATCATGATTCAAGGTCAACAACTAAGTCAAGTTAGGAGGAAGCCAAATATTACCACATTGTGTCGCTACAGTATAGAGCAAGAGGTGTCCTCACCTTTTTGGGAGAGCCTTTGTGTGTGGAACCAAGATTTGAGAGACCCCCCCCCCCCCAACACCACCACCACCACCACATGACATTGGGCACCACTATTAAGTGGTAGTGCACTAGTGTGTATTACATATATTGTGAATAAAACCTTAGCTTGATGCAAGTATAGAGCACTGGACTGGCATACCAGAAGTTCTGTTTGAATCCCTAGCTGTTACAATTTCACACTCACTGGAGACTTACAATTTGTAGCATTTCATTTTACTTTTGCAATTTATCATCATGCAACAACTAACATTGATAAATGGTCACCTGGTGAAGATGAACATTTGAGACATATTTTGTTTTCCTCCCTTCAGTATCTGGATCATCCTGTGATGATGTCCATAAAGCCAGCCGTAAACTTCAAACCTTTGCCAAGAAATCAACAAGAAGAGATAAGAAGAAAGAAAAAGAAAAGCAGGAAAGAAAAGAGAAAAGTAAGGCCTAAAATAAAAATTTGTTTGTTTGCAGAGAGTTGCAGCAGAAAATAATCTTTTTTTTAGTTTTTATTCTTCAATGTTTGTAAAATGTTTAATTTTCAATTTTTGAGTTTTGTCTTTATCAATCAGTGGTTTATAACAAAAGTGGAGCTTATTCATGTTTAGTAAACCTATGAAAAGCTCTGTTATTTCTTATCTAACAAAAATCCGAAAACAATTTTTTTCAAGAAAAAAAAGAATGCCTACCTACCTAACCAGTCTAAAAATCATAGGTCGGCAAGTGCAAACAGAGGATTTCTTAGGCTTGGCCTAATACTGCAAAAAGCAGCAGAAATAATGGTTTTCAACTTTTCATAATGTTTATAAAATAAACTTTAATCTAATAATAAGAATGGTACCGGTATATTTAATTCTAATATTTTAATTCTTCCTTATCAGATAAATTATCTATGGATGATTTCCTGAGTAAACAAGTGGAGTTTACCACATGGCTTGAAGAAGAGGTAAAGAGGATAATTCTTGTTTAAAAATATAATTTAAAAATTGGTTCCATTATAGATTCAGTTTTTAGCTCACCTGAGCCGAAGGCTCAAGTGAGCTTTTCTTATCAAAATTTGTCCGTTGTCTGTTGTCATCGTTTTCGTTAACTTTTCACATTTTCGACTTCTTCTCAAGAACCACGGGGCCAATTTCAACCAAACTTGGCACAAAGTATCTTTAGGTGAAGGGAATTTAAGTTTGTTCAAATGAAGGGCCATGCCCTTATTCAAGGGGAGATAATTCAGAAATAGTGAAAATTTGATGGTATATTTTAAAAATCTTCTTCTCAAGAACCACTGTGCCAGGAAAAATGAAACTTATAGGGAAGCATCCTCGGGTAGTGTAGATTCAAGTTTGTTCAAATCATGATCCCCGGGGTAGGGCGGGGCCACAATGGCCGATCAAAGTTTTACATAGAAATATATAAGAAAATTCTTTAAAAATCTTCTTCTCAAGAACCACTGTGCCATGAAAGTTGAAACTTATAGGGAAGCATCCTTAGATAGTGTAGATTCAAGTTTGTTCAAATCATGACCCCCGAGGGTAGGGCGGGGCCACAATGGCTGATCAAAGTTTTACATAGAAATATGTAGGAAAATTCTTTAAAAATCTTCTTCTCAAGAACCACTGTGCCAGAAAAGTTGAAACTTATATGGAAGCATTCTCAGGTAGTGTAGATTCAAATTTGTTCAAATCATGACCCCTGGGGGTAGAGCAGGGCCACAATGGCTGATCAAAGTTTTACATAGAAATTTATTGGAAAATTTGTTAAAAATCTTCTTCTCAAGAAATAGCAAGAGCATGAATGATCATATTTATATGAAAGCATCTTCAGGTAGTGTAGATTCAGGTTTGTTCAAATCATGACCCCAGGGGAAAGGGCGGGGCCACAATGGCCGATCGAAGTTTTACATAGAAATATATAGGAAAATTCTTTAAAAATCTTCTCTGGAATAGAAAAGGCATGAATGATCATATTTTTATGGAAGCATCATCAGGTAGTAGACATTCAAGTTTGTTCAAATCATGACCCCGGGGGGTAGGGCGGGGCCACAATGTAAGTTCAAATGTAAAGGGCAGTAAAGCCACAGGTAGTCAAAGAAATATGCAAGCATCTTTAGTTAGCGTAGATTCAAATTTGTTTAAATCATACCCTCTCCCTTTTAAGGATTGTTTGGGACCACTATTGGGTTTCAACTTTTCAATAATAAACTGATTTATGCTTTTTTCCTAGCCACATTGCTCAGGTGAGCAATGTGGCCCATTGGCCTCTTGTTTTTTTTTTTTTTATCTGTAAGAGGTTTATACCTTGCCTATTGACCCATTGTTTTTTATTTTCCTGAGTCATTGGGAGGGGAGGGGGACAAAATATATATATATTAAAGATGGCATAATATGAAAGTTAGACAAAATTTTAACAATATACTGTATGATATGTATTGAACTGTTAGTTTCAAGATATTTATTTTGTCTACAGAAACACAAGAATCCCAAAGAAATGTCATCACCAAAGCGGAAAGCCTACTTTAAGACATTCATGAAGCTGTGGAACAAAAGGAAATTATCTCAGGTAAAAATAAAACAAACTTTAAAATTTTTTTATTCAAAGCGAATCAGTCATTTTAAATTCTAGTCAATGAATAATTTGAATGTTATTGTAGAGTAACATAAATATAGATCAAAAGGCATATGTAAAAAGATATAAACTAATACAATAATATTTAAAACATGAGAGCTGTAAATTAAAAGGTGGCAAGCAACTTATTACATTTTGTAGGCATGAAACCCGTGATAATATTTTGTGCAACTTCTCCAAGTTTGACAATTTTTGTATTTCCAATATTATAAAGGTTAAAATTCTTCAATGGTCCATTTCATTTTGTTTTATATTTAATAGGCAGTGGTTTTGTTATTTTTGTTATTTTTTTTTTTTAATTTGACCAGAATTGCTCTGCCAGCAACAATAAAAAATTCTAAAGCAGAAAACAAAAGTCAAAAGTAAAACTTAAGAATTACAAAATATTATTACAACTATGACGGTAGACCACCTTTGATAATTTAAGTTTTAACAACCTCAAGCTGCGGCTGCTACAATAATTTCCAAAACAGTATGATGGATGAGTTAATACTTATTTAATATGTGTTTTTTTTAAAAACAATTTTGCTTTTTATTAGAAGTATTATAGAGGGAGTGCTGAGATTCAGAGTCCATGCCCAGCTAATCCAACAAGGACTTTCAGCTTCGCTGATGATGACGAAGAAGTTGTTAGTTTCTCACGTCCGAAATCAAAGCGTTTGTCCATTGAACCATGGGGGCCACCAGATTCTCCATTCTCTACCTTTGGAAAGACACCACCCAAACATTTACAGGGAACAAACCTTGCTTTGTTAGATTCACAGACCTCTCTGGTAGGTGTAGTTACAACAACTCCAAGTCCTTAGGTTGAAAATATACGAGTTTCTTTCGTTTATTTCATTTTAATAAACCCAAGTTTGTATTACTAAATTTCACTGTAGATTTCGTACAATCACATGACCATGTGATCCAGATCACCACCCTGGTTTTCTGAATCTATATCACCCTGTCTGAAATTGATAATGTAGCACAAAACGTTCCTTGACAAAATGCTTTGATTAATGGAAAAATTTTTATTTGATCTCAAAACTTTTCTTTAAATATACATGTATATATCACTAGTTGTAAAGGAGGGGTGGGGGGTATAAAATAAATTTATCCTTATAACAGTAATTATACTCCCGCAAACGAAGTTTAGGGGGGTATATTGGAATCACCATGTCCGTCTGTCCGTCTGTCTGTAGACAAGATTTTGTCCGGACCGTTTCTCAGAAACTATTGGATGGATTTGTCTGAAAATTTGTACACTTATTATTCACCATATGAAGTTGTGCACCTGGTATTTTCATTACGATTGGATGATTTTTCTGCATTTTACAGGCATTTTTTCTTCTTTATTTTGTTGTTTTGTTTGGCTCATAACTAGAAAACTATTAGACTTACAATCATCAAACTTGGCCAATTTATGCATCTTGGGTAGAAGGTATGTCCTGACCTATTTCAAGGTCACTGTGACCTTTAATTAAAGTGAAATTTAAAAAAAATAACTGTCTCTTGCTATTGAAATAATCAATCCCAAAAAATGTAAGAATGTTGCAGTATCCCTATTTAAAACATGTTAAATTAAGAAATTTTTTTTTCATTATATACTTTACAGCAATCCATGATAAATGTTTTTTATAAGAGAAAATCTACCTCTCCCAAGGGTATAGTTATGAAGCACTGGTCAAAGAGAATTTTGATAACAGAAAATTGCATGTCAAATTAGAGAGAAATTAATTAGTTTAGTGTACATGGTGTAAGGAGCTAACTTGTAGAACAATTCTGATCAAGAACTTGTTATCTGTCTTTTGGGAACTGGGCTAAGGAATCAGCCTTAAATAGTTTTAGTGACTAGCCTAACTTATTTAATGAATTTGAGAATTTTTTTTTTTAAATACTTGACAAGTATTTAAAAAAAAAAAATTTGGTAGACAGTCCCTACAAATCTTAAGAATCATGCAGGAACCTTATTCAAAATGATGCATCAAGATTACACAATTTTTTTCAGTATAAATCTTTGTAACAAATTTATATAAAATCTTTGTTTTTTGAGATTTAATTTCAGAATGACACATGCAATAATGCATTTTGTTTGCACTACAAAGGAGAAGGTTAAGATCCATTCATCCCTTGGTAGCAATTAATGGGCATGCATCCAGTCAAAGATTAATTAATGAGTTCTATGTAGGGAAGCTTAAGCTGTCCCAATCATTTCTGTTAGAGCATATCTCTGATAAAGGAGCTCTTATCTGTGTCCTTTGGGAATTAGACAGAAAAACTGCTGGTCAGTTTAAATAGCATTTGTCATTTGATGGCCAGTCTCCTATTTCTAAAATCAATTTGGTATATATCAAGTTTTTAAGACATATTAGTTAAATTGATTTTTTTTTTTGAAAATATCAAGTGACCAATTTCATATCATCATGTCCCACATGAAAGACATGCGTATATGTGTATGTTTGTGGAGGAGGGGCATTTGTCAAGCTTTAATGCAACCAGTTGATGATTATTTGTTATAATTAAAGCTTGCACCACAGGAGATGTTTAAACAATTATTATAAGGAATGGAAAAATTATGCAAATCCCTTTAAAGGTTGACATGATTTTCTTGCACTTTAAACTGTTTATAATAATTGAATTAAAAATATTTGATGGGAGTATCATGCTGAGGCTGACTGCACTTTATTATTTTTAAAATGAATATGATATAAATTTATATAGATTAATTTGATTCTGTATAATGTTTTTTCAACAATCAATTTGCACTGAGTATCATGACAAATAGTTGCATTTTATTTTTTCAATGAAATAAAAAAAAACTGTTAAAATGTATTAGTATTGATGTTTTATTTGGTTGCACCTCAGTTTCATTAATTAAAAAAAATATATAATGAGCACTCAAATTGTTTCTAAGAAAATAGTGAACACCTCTTTTTAGATCCATAAATATTTGTGAATTTGCACCTACTCTGAAAAACCCAGCGGGGGTATTTGTCCCTATTGGACAGTTGTAGTTTGATTTTAGGAGACATATCACGTCTTGTGACCATTTCCCATCTCGTTTTCTCTATTGATCCGTGCCTGTCAATGAGATGATACAGCTCTCCGGATCAAGTTACTGTAATAATTAAGGAATAACTCTAATTTTTCAATTTCTTGATGTGATCAATCGATTGATTTGCATGATAATTTGCATGGATGCCGAAGGCGTTTATGCATAAAATTATCATGCAAGCCAAATGATTGATCATTGTCATGAAATCAAAAAAAAATCTGACAGTTATTCCATATATTTACATGTTCTTGATTCAACTAATCCACATGCTACAAGCCCCACTTCTCTCTTTTTGTCCCTCCCTGCACATGATTTTTTTTTTAAGCGCACCTATTGATGAACCAGTACATTTATGGAGAAATAAATTACATTAACGTATTTGTAATTTTATTTCAGACAAAGACATTGGAAATGTAAATATTAATACATACAGGTATTCATAATATACCCAAGTGTGTAATAATTTTACATAAAAGTTTTTAAGGAAAACCATAAGAGATCTTCCCAAGAACAATAAAGCCATGATTGGTGTGTAAGGAAGCATCCTCAGTTAGTGTGATTCAAATTTGTTCAAATCATGACCCGGCCAGGGCTAGGTTAGAGACACAAAAAGCAAAGTTTTACAAAGTCAGAAATACATGTATATGGGAAAAATCTTGTAGGTTCTTGTGGATAGGACACCCCACCCCAGAATCCACTGTAATCAGATGTCAGTTTCTACCGGTAGTTTATACACATGTATATCATCTGCAGGCCTAATTATCACTGTATCAATTTTGAAATAGTAAGAAAAGAATTGGAATGAAAAGGTTCAAATAATGCATGTTGCTCTCAAAATTGATATACATTGCAGATGGAAAGTTCCCTGAAGGAAGACAGTCATGAAAACTCTGGAAGTTACAAGAATGATTCTCTCCCAGTAAGAACTTTTAATATGGATAATATATTTTGCTTGAAATTTTTGTCATATCTCAGGACAAAAAGGATAAAGGGTCACAGCAACCTAAAATGAAGATGAGGATCTTTTAGTAATCTTATTCAAATAAAAGGCATTCAAAAATTATACAGGGAAATTATCGACATGAAAGATACTGAAATGATTTTACTTCAAATTGTTGTGTATGTCATCACTTTCAAAGTCCCATGAATCTTCATTTTATAATACATGATTAAACCCATGAGGGTGGGAGATTCCAACTTAAATTTTTTAAATAAATTTATTAAGGTCTATACCTGTGAATTTTGGCATTTTCTCTTCACAGAAACTTGGAGAATATCAAATTCCAAAAAATGCTTTACAAATGACGGATGCTGAAAAGACAATACAAAGCAAAGAGAATAGGTATGAACAGATATGTTTCAGCAACTTCTAAACCTACTGTAAATGATAAAGTATTCATAAAGAGTTCATATTTAATGTCAAAATATTTCTCAACAAAAACAATATATGCATTATTAAATTTAATACAATGTACTCTAAAAACAAGTTGCTACTTTAAATTTTGTTGTATGAATTTAAAATGATTTTTTTTTGTTCCAGTAACAATGAGATTCAGCCATCCCCTTCCACTGAATTACCAGGCACTCCAGCCTCTGGTATGCCAGAGAAATCCCCTGTGTACGCCGTGCCATGGAAACCCAAACCGACACCCAGGAAGAAGCCTTCAGAAGTCACTCAGGTCGTGAAGTCCCCCTCACCCCCTCCTGTCCCTCCCAAATCATACAAAAATAGCGAACGCAGTGAAGCTGCACAACAAGAACCTCAGGAGGGGGTAGCTTGCCAAACAAAAGATGTACAGCCAGGAGATACAAGGAACAATGAACAGGAGAGTGGTGCGAGACAGGGCATGTCTGAATCCTGCAGCTCTATGGAGGTAGACGATCAGAGCCCCACTGATCAAGGTACACAGGGAGGAGATGGCTGGCACAGTCCCATTAAAGAAAAGCCTTTCAGTCCACCAATCAAGATCCTTAAATCTTTCTTTCCTCAGGAACAAATTTATGCAGAGATTGAATCATTGAATGCTGAATCTTCAGAAGATAAAGAAATTAAAAATAGGGAATTTGTTGATGATGATCAGGTGTTTACAGAACCAGTGAGTGAATTACAGAATGACAATTTACTGACTCAAAGTGATTCTCCAACGAGTGCTTCCTCACCAGAATCAAAGGTTAAACATGTAGTTTTGGAAAATCTGCTTACAACAAAGGAGAGCCGATTTTCTTTCAGCAAGTACTTGATAACACCAGATAAATACGCTTCTGCACCCAAGAAACACTTATCTTTATCTCACAATGGAAAAGAGAATGTGGCGTCAAAAAGATGTTTAGAACAACAAAGTGAAGTTCCTTTGTTAGAAAATGGATGTCCCAGAAAGGAAAAGCCGAAGATTCCACCAAGAAATATTCCAAAACTTCGAAGTGAATCCAGGGTCACCATGATGATCAGTAATGGTCTGCATAATGTCCGCAACTTTCCAATAGTAGACAACAAATCTATCAAAATGAAAGAAAATAGAGACAATGGGAAGGTTGATCTGACACAAAGGGGAGAAATCCCGAAATCAAGAGTCCGTTCAGAGGGAGAACACGATCTTGTGGGGGTTACAGAGTCAAGCTTAGGGAGGAGTGAAAGGTTAGCTGAACCTTTAGACATTTCTGACAATCCCAATACAAAACAACAACAGAGATTTTTGGAAACAGATATTGACTCTATGCCTTTACCAGTAATGGGCTGTAAAACCCCACCTCGGAAACGCAAGCCTTTGTCCAACCTACAAAGGTCTAAGTCCTTGGAGACTATTATTTGGTGATCATACTAAATGATAGCTTGTATTAAAAAAAACTGGATGTTTTGAAGCACATTTGTAGAAATCCCAAAATTCATGTACATTTCTTTTAGATTAATATCCCATTGTTTTGTACGTTTTACATACTAGTACACTGTTGTACTCAACTAATGTATACTCAGTTTGAACTTTAACCAGACAGACAAGTGTTGTATATTTATTAATCCCCCCCCCCCCCAACAAAGGAGTTGGGGGTATCTAGTGACTGGTGTATCAGTCTCTTATTCATGTCTATATGTCTGTTCATTGTATTTTGGGGTACCATAGACAAATTTACTCTCACAGAATCTCATTTACAAACTGCCAAGAAATGCACTTTGCCATCATCACATTTGGGGGGATATATCTTTTTGTTAGCTTAGTGCTCACTATATATAAGAATACATTGTATTTCATTTTAGGCAGTAAATATTTGTACCTCTGTATATTTTGATCTTTGTACTGGATTAATTATTTTAAAACTAGTACATGTATTGTATTATTGAAGACCTTTTTTTTTTTTTACAGATTAGACAGATATGGATATAGAGTAATTTATACCAAGTTTTGAAATAAACTAAGTAATATTATACTAAAAACCTAAGAATTATAAATAGACTAGTACCATTTGTGTCAACTCTAGATAAAAAAAAAAAAGAAAAATGAGTGTATACACATATAGTTCCGAGGCTTCATTGAGTTGAAATTATGTGCAAGAATATTTTTTTTATTTTGTAGAATGGTGTTATAAGGATGTACATACATGTAAAATAAAATCATAAAAAAGAAAATGAAATCTGATTAGTTTGTGTTGTTTTACTGTTATTTTGAGTAGGTTTTACTTACTGCGTTTTGTAACACGTTGAAAAAACTATCTAAAAATGTCCAAAATAGACTAATGTATAATTTTTATTAAATTTTGTGAAATATGAAGATAGTATGCTAGTGACTGGCCTTATGTTAAAGTCATGTTCAGGATGTAGCTCTTGCGGTTGTACCATATATGTAAGTTAAATCTTTGGTCAGTGATTACTGGTATTAGAATAGTTTCAAACTACAGTACATATGGACAGTAAAGCTATTACTATTTGAATCCTCAGTTGGGTCAGATTATTTTCATGCCAGTCATGGATAGATAATTGTTTTCAAGAGGATCAAGGACAGAACTTATTTTCATCACTGAAAAAAGTTTGACCAAACAAAAAATAAAATAAAATAAAATAAAAGCTCAAATTCCAAAACTTTCTTGTGTGTGATTGTGTTTTGAGGGGGGGGGGGGGGGGGTTAATTGTTGTACTTAAATAAGTCAATTGCACGTAATATTACATGTAGTAAAGATATATTTTCTTTCTACTCCAGGAAATTATGCCAAGTGCAGCTTGACATCTGGCATGTAAACATACTTGCATAACCTTTAGCAAATATAAAGGGGGGGGGGGGTCCAATATAGAAATAAACTGATGGTTCAGTACTGTACCAGTAGTTGAATTCCAAGATGGGTCCAAAGCATCCTTTTATCATATGTATTTTTTCTCATTTCACAAAAAGGACATTTAATATTAAACCACAGTTCATTTGTTTTATTTAAACTGATCAAATTATTAATAATATTGGAATCTTATTCAAAAAGATCCGCCTCTTATGCCAACCGGTTTAATCCAGTTTCAGATTATAGTCTCAAACATCGGAAGATATTTTTAAAATTTATTATAAAGCTTTGATTCATTTTTTAAATGTTCTAACTTGTTTATTTCCGATGCAGAAAAATAATTTATGAACCAATCCTATGCAGTGCACTTATTTAGCATAAAGTGCATTGTGTCACATCGTATCTTTTTTTAAAATAGCACAATTATGCAATAAATTTTATCAATTCAAAAACTGTAAACAAAATGTCAAAACATTTTAATTAATTTTGGGAATGTTGAGCAATTTTACTGAAAGTCAAAACAAAAAGGACTTATGCGGATTCGAGACTAAATTCCGCAATGCATTGTGGTATAGCCAGTATATAACATTGGCGCTCGGCATTACTCGACAAGGTCACAATGACGGGTAATAACGTCAACCAGACTGAACTGGACTTAAGTAATCTCCACAAGGAAATAACTGAAAAGTTACAGGTATGTATAATTTCATTTGACATTTATTCAAAAGAACTCTTGCGCATCTATGTTGAAAACAACTCTTCTAACATGTGCCCCCAGGTTTTCCTCACAAGTTTCACATTCTTTTCCATAACCATTTCTTGTTGATTTTATTGTATCAATCTACTTCATTTCCTCTGTGATCCTCATTTTGGATGGATTTATATGTTTCCAAGACCATGTCAACAGAAATTCTGTGTTTTGATGGCGCATCATTTGTTATTTGATTTGCAAGGTGCGCGCTCGTCGATGCCTCAATCGGCAAGAAATTGCTAGGGGTTTGATCGCTGTTTATATAGTATGTCGACGACCATCACGTGGTTTGTGCAATGCGCGGAAGTTGATTGGCTGATTTTTTCCATGAAATGTGTAATATATCGGGGTTTTCCCTATAATTGTACGAACAGGCACGAGGAATCCTGTGTAAATCGTGCACGCACTAAAATCGTGATATTGTAAAGGTTATGCAGTTAGAGTGATCTGCCCTTTGCTAGCTGGCTGTAAGATAAAAGAAGCAAAATAGATATAAGAATTTTCAATTCAATTTCAAAATTCTATATAGGTTACTAATATGGAATTTTAGCAAATGAGCTGAATATATATATATATATTTTTAAAATGAGATAAAGAAATTCAACACGTTAAAAAAAGTTGATGGGACTGTTTCCTAATAAATTCAAGTTGCAAAAATTATAACAATATATTTTGTAAAAATTCAAAGAAAGACAAACTCTTTAGTGCAAAAGTCATGTAGTTCTTAATAAAAAAAAAAAAAGTCAGTGGAAATACTTACTATAATGGCCATTCAGAACCATATGCCGATGATATGGGCTTGCTTCTGGCATTGTAATAAAAAAAAAAAATATTTAAGGTAATACAAAAACAACACCATATTTGATATTTTTTTTTATGAATATTACACACCAGGAGCAAGCCCTTGTGGCCTTATCAAATGATATACCAATAGTATATATGCATACTAAGCTAAATGTTTTAAATTAAATCACTTTAAGTCATCATATAAATGTTTATAATAAGAAAATGGATTGAATAATTTTTTTCTTATATAACCGTCATACCCAATCGATTGTACAATTAAATAGTGGTATTTTCATGTCTCAATAAAGATTATACAGTTTTATTTTTTCGTAATTTAAAAGAAATGGTGATGATATTTCATTTAATAGGTAAATGGAAGAGTGAAAAGAAAAACCAGACATCGGACAACCAAAAGTCCCCCGGATGGGAGCTCCCCACCCTCCCCCCAGTCTCCGAGAACAGGAAAATGTGGGCGGCCAGCTAATCCAATCCCGAGGCACAAGAGGGAGTCACACATCAAGGCTGAGCACAAACGCAGGGATAAAATTCAGGTTTGCAATGGCTCAGTTTGGGTTTTAATGTTACTTAGATGTAATTTTCTAATTCTTGTTACACACATATAAGTAGTAATGCACGGTAAGTATTATAGTAGAAGATCTTTATATTCTTTTACAAGTCTTCTTCAGTTTGCTTTTGAGCATGATTTTGTATGTTATTTTTTCATGGGTATTGAATGTAGTACCACTTGCAAAAAAGAATGCCTGACCAAAATTGGCCAGTGTATCCAAAAATTAGGCTTAAGGAAAAGTGTGCCCTATATCTCTTTTGTTTCCAAATAAGGTAAGGTATATTGATAGCCAAAAAAAATCATTTGTGGGTAAGTTTGTATGGGAAATTGGGTAAGAAATTTTATGGCATACTTTCCTTCCAACTAGCCCTAAATATGTGATAATGATGTAGAAGATTTGAATTTTAGAAATTTTATTGGCAAAACTCAGAAATTTAAAGTATTAATTAGTAATAAATGTTGACGTCTATCGATTTTTAGTATGAACCTTCTGCACAATCACATTCAAGGGCAAAGTTACATGCTTATATCTCTCCACAAAGAAATGCCTTCATTTAACATTCAATGCTTGCTTACAGATTAACATTTTATCAAAACGTTCAAAGTTAGAGAAGATATTTCTTTGTGATCTGAATCTGTATGATGTAATCAAGATGGTTTTTGCAGTTTCAGGGTCATATATAAAATCAAAATATTGAACTTTTTGTTAATCCTGTTGGTTTGTTTTACAGAAAGGATTTGAAAGTTTAAGGTCATTGGTCCCGTCCCTGGAAGATGTGTCAGAGAAGGAAAGCAAAGCTGTTATGCTCTTTAAAAGTAGGTATCCGCACTTTGCAAGAGTTAAGGTTATTAGTTGTAAGGGGAAGTCACTCATGGGCACCTACTAGTGTTAGGGGTAGTTAGGAATCTTTAGATAACTTTGCTCTCTCAGGACTTGAATCATTTTGCTGCACAACTGTTAAAGGTATTTCAAAAATTATAAAATCAGTTCAGTGTTAATATTAAAAAAAAAAAAAGACTTAGAAAAGCAGTGAAAATGATCACAGAAAACCAGAGAGAGGAATGTTTGGGGCGTTCTAGTGCTAAGTCTGTTTAGTTGGTCCCCTTTCGTGAGGGGGCACCTTACCCCAAATTTTGACTTGTCTCCCTCTTGTAGCTGCTGAATACTGTCGGCAACTTAAGGGCCAATGTAGGGGGCTCACCGATGAGACGGCTGCTTTGCGGCAAGAAATCCAGTCCTTGGGTACTCAAATTCAGTAAGTCAAAAACATTTTAAATGTTTGACCAAGCTCTGTATGAACACTATATGTATATGGTTGAGACTAATTATAGTATATGTATACTATATATCTATATATGCTTACATCCTAAGTCTCTCTTTATTTCTTCCAGATTCTAGATAACCATGCCAAGTTGTTGGATAAGAGATGAAATTTAATTGTTAACTTAAAAATAATGATTTTGAATTTACTTTG